ATCAGTCCGGCCAGATTACATGACAGCACCGGTCACTCTTGTGGCCACCTCAGACAACCGTACGGAGCACCCTGCTCACGTCCGCACGGTGAGTGTCAGTACTTCCTGGGAGCACATACGGAGGAGAAGGTCCAGACATCGGGAGCCTCATCGGCGTCGATCTCGCAGTCATCACCGGCGGCTTCCTGGCCGACCTGACGACGCGCTTCCCACGACCCGCCGCCATGCCTACAATCCGAAGTACCCGCCGGCAGTCAAGGCCATGCCGGCGTGTCGACCATCAGGTCTGTCGTATGACCGTTGACGGAACACCAGCGGCAAAAGGACCTCAGTATTTCGGCGCATGCATGTTCGCAAGCATCATGTCTTCGCAGTTCCGCAGCCTTACTTGCTTGATTTGTCCTTGCTGTGTGTTCATTTGCCATGCAGTTGTCAGACGAGTTTGTGCATAACCTGGTGGCGGTACTCAATGTCCTTGCATCCCAAGTTGCGACAGCTCTGGACACCCTGAACTTTGCCCTGATGACCGAGCGAAGCCATCCGTCAGACACTAGAGTGTCTCCCAGGGCACCACGGAACTCCAGACACGGGCTGCGCCCTCGCATCATCACAGAGCGCATTTCGTCTGATCGATCCCGCTCTCCCACTCGAATTCGAACCCGACCTTTGGACACTTCATCCACCTGGTATATACCGGCCTTATCCCCGCCTCGTGCGGCACATCGGGATGCCGCTGACAACAATTCTGGTCGTCGGCCTGAATCGATGTTGGATCACCTGCCACCACCACGGCCGCGTGCTCCCTTAGCCCCGCACGGCGGACGAGAACCGGGACAGATGACGCCTACGACACCTGACTCGGATTCTGATGGTTCAGTGCGTCCACATCCAGGTGCCTCGTCGTTCCGACCGTCTCCTACGGTGATTCATGGACCTCGGGAACTTCTACAAGAATTCACCATTGCACTTCGCAATGCACACCGTGAACCTTTCACGGCATGGACACAGGGTGAGCTGGATGAGATGGTGCGACGGAAGAAAGACAAGGATTCCAGGCCTACCTACAAAACCATTGCTCGGTTCCTTCAGAAGCCCATTGAGGAAGTCAAGCAGGCATGGAAGGTCTATCAGCAACTTGAGGCTCGCGGCTAGGAACCCGGTCATCAAATGCAACAGCGACCACAGGAGGACTAAATGGTAGGCCGTGGCGGTGTATTCGGCTAGCGCTGCAGGTTGTTGCGACGGTTGGGATTGTAGTCATTATTGATCACATGAAATTTGCTTGCTTGCACTTGACTGGCTTTTTACCAGGGTAATATTGCTTGCCGTTGTGGGTGTTGCCGCTGACGTGAATTGAATGCATGACTGAGTTGCTCAAATCATGTCGGAACAAGTCGTACAGACGTACATTACTTGGACCCATGGAGCGCAGCCGACGTGGTTACAGTTTCACGGATCTGGAGCCCTGCTTGACAGACCCATTCGGCAGACTACGTCACCTCCGCCCCCACCAAGTTTCCTACTGCTTCTTCCACCTCCGCCTCCTCCACCGCCACCACCACCGGTGATTCTACACCCACAGTTTATGCCCTCAGTACGGAGCCCCTCGATCTCAGCTCCTCGCGGACAATCCTGCCCTGCCACATCGAAATCGCAGCGCACACGCCGCTCGATCTACAGCACTGACCATTCCCGTGATGAAGAGCTACGCAGTCCAGGGCGTTCATCCAAACGATCTCGGACAGCATCCGCTTCTGCACCGCGGAGATCTCCAAACGTGCTGGCCGTCCATCGCTGTCCCCATCGGCAAATTGCAAGCATTACTGTCATGCCTTCCTGCGCCATGGGCGGAAATGTCTTTCCCCTTGTGATCGTAAACGACCAGGACATTATCATTGCAGGTGTGCGCGGCATCAACGGCGGTGAAGCTTAGGCGTCGTATATTACAAACCTCGCTGCTGTGTCTCACCTCGAGTTTGAAAAGTTGCCTTGCATCCCTTCAGCTGCGCGCGGTTGTCATTGCATGTGTGTCTTCGCCGCAGATTTTCGATTGCTTTTAGCGGCCGCGCGATAGCCTGTCTTGCCGCTATGAACCCTCAATATTTCGAGTACCAGATCGACAGAGGAGTGGAATGGATTCGAATTTACTCACCGGGCACGTGGCGACCCGTTCCCGATGATGCTCCAGTGCTCGACCCGGTCTACGCTTCCACGTATCGAGAGTGGCGCAGGTCATATCGCTTCCACGTGTACTGGTCCGAAGACAGCACCGGAGGAACAACAACGGATCCCATTGTCACGCCCAGTTCGTATGTGTCCTACCACGTGTGGGAGTACCGAGACTGGCAAACACGAGGGTATCAACGACTTGGAGCTCCTTTACCAGCCATTGGACTCGCGATGCTCGTGAATGCAGACGCCAATTCCTCGGTGGACTCATCGGTTCCGGATGGGGCGTGGCGAGAGCCGTCACCACCACCATTCTATGATCCTTGGAACGATTCGGGGTGATACTTGAGCAACATGTCGGATAAATTGACGCGGTTGTGCTTGCTTTGTATGCGATTCCATGTTGGGTTGTCTTTCTTGGTGTTGTGCGTTCCGTCTCCAGCTGTTTGCCGCTTTCATTTGACTCTGAGCGGTTTGCCTGGTTGATATGTTCAATTGTACAATGTATAGCGCAGCACGATGGGTCCTGCCTCGCTACTTTGACTACGACATCGTCAGTGGCCCCACGAATACGAGTGTAGAATGGATTCGGATCTATGTACCGGGTCCGTGGCATCCAGTCGCCGAGAACACCTTGGGACCAGCCCCGGATGACTCAACCACCTATCGGGAATGGCGCAAGGTTTACCACTTCGAAGTGTATTGGCCGAGGGATAGCACAGGCGGCACCAATACAGGTGCTGTTTCGCAGCCGGTATCTTATGCATCCTTCTATACTTGGCAGTATAGAGACTGGGTCACCAGGGGATACCAACGGCTGGGTCGCCCACACCCTAGCATTGCGCGGCCAGTTTTCGCTTCGGGCGCACCGGACCTCATGTACGCTGGATTGACCTCTTCATCGGCATCCTCCAACTCGGATGGTGGCTGATGCTCGTCCTCGCCTTCCTGGGGAGTCTGTTCAGTTCAATTCGATTCGGGAGATTGACTTCGATACCGGAGCCGTGCATTGCTGCAAAAGTGATTTCTTGCACTGTGGTAGTTGTGTCTCTTTCAGTAATTGTTGTCTGCAGCCGTACCTATCATTTTGTCTTTCCGGGTTTGCGTTGTCATGCCGTGGCTGAATGGTGTCCGGATCCTCAACAACCAGATGCCCAGTGGGTCAAGATCTTTCATCCGGGATCATGGACTCCACATGAAGAACATGATGCTCCACCTCCACCGCACACGTATAGAGAGTGGAGGGAGTTCTATGCTCCCAACCCGGACCAAGTCAGTGAGCAGCTCAATGTCACCATGTGGTACAAAAGAGACTGGGCCACAGAGGCCTATCGGAGAGTCGCTGCCCCTCAAGCTGGTCATGACTTTGATTCTATGTCTTTTCCTGATCATCACAGCGTGGCCACGCAATCCGCGGCATTGAGTATGTCACCGCAGCTGTTAGAAGCGATCCTCAGGTCCTCGGATGCGGCGGACTTCTCTACCGAAGAACTGACTCGTCTCCAAGAGGGGATTTCTCAACAACTGACAGCTCGCGCACGTCACGCTTCCATCAACCAGTACGTGCATCACGTGGAATCACACCATCGGAGACGGTTGGGGTCTCCGAACCATACCGGCCTGTTAATCCTTCCGACAGCTGCAAAGACAAGGCGAGTCCCATCTTCGAGCTAAATGAGGACTAGACGCACGCGAGTGGGGTAGCGTACAAAATAAGGGTGGTTTTCACACTTTCATTGTCTTGCTTGGTTGTTGCTTGTACATGGTTGTGCATGGTGCCTGTTTCTCTATCAGCTGGATCGGAGCCCGCGATTCGCCTTGCTTCTTACTTCGACATGGACGTCGATGATTCGAAGCAGCACCCATGGCTCGAATACTCGGTCTGGCAGGATCAGGAGTGGGTGCGGATCTACACTGCAGGACAGCCTCAGCGATGGCACCACGGAGAAACTGTACCTGATCTACCAGACAATTCTTGTCGGGAATGGCAGCGGGTGACTGATCCCAATGGGCGCACTGGTGAGCACGGTCAGGCATGGACCATCCGCGACTGGCAGCATCAGGGATACCAGCGCATTCTGTCTCGAATGGAGTCCTTCACAACTCATCATTCGCATGATCAATCTCTTGGTGAAGTTCGGAATTCCGATGCCATTCCAGTTGAGGAGACGTTCACCTATGCTACTCCGTTTTCTCATGGTGATCGCTCGACTCTATGGCGACACTCGTAATGCTCAACGTGGTGATCTCTCGTTCCCGTCTTCTGAGCGGTTTAGGGCTGTTTCTCGTTCCCCTCGCCGCGGTGGATTTTTTGGTCAACGATAGGGACACGGGGTTGAGCATGTGATCTTCCTGCGGAAAAGGAGACTCCTCGCCCCTCATTGAGGGGCGTGTGTGTGCGGAGTGACAGAATGCCCTGTCACCACCCTTTCGGTTTCTCAGCAGGGGGGTCACCCGCAGTCACGACCGGTGACCCAACGAAGAGGGTCGTGACCTGCGCTGATATCTGGCCTGATCAGCCAGACGTACCTACCGAGATGATGGTGTTGTTCTGAACGTCCTTTTGGTCCCTCCCTGAACCGCTGTTGCTTCTCTGTCTCTGTGTTGAAGTAGCTAGAGTGAAGCCAAGTGACCAGCAAGCCGATGGGGTTTGTCCCCAGTTGTACTCGAGACTCATCAGTTGTGCTCGAGACTCATCAGTTGTACTCGAAAGATTAGCACTCTCCATTTGGAGTTTAAGTGTGTGTGTGGGAAGCTAGTGGAGAGAGGGGTGCGGCACAAAGGGCGAATGTCTAAGAGCTTGTGAGAGCATGTCAAGCTTTGCCGTGCAGGCTGCATGTGCTTGATGTACTTTGCACAGCTTGGCGCCAAAGATGCAGTTCTTGCTGAACCTTGGCAGCATTGCTACAAGCCGTTGGGCTCCAAATTTGTTTTGCACACTTCACTTCTGTTAGAATCAAACTGCAGTATTTTGCAGTCATGCCGTGCGGAGGCTAAGCGCTGCCGGCCGATTATTGATCCCATCGCAGACTTTCCAGCCTCTTGGACGTGTTATTTTGCTTTTTTGTGAGCCCATTGGAGCCACCTCGTCCAAGTTAATACCGCCATTTGGACTTCCGGCCTCAGGAGCTGCTAGCCAAACTGGAGCGCAGCTGGAAGAAAGCTGGTTGAACAAGATCCACGGATTCCATACGCAGAACTGCTGAACAGACTGGAGGATATTTCTTTGCTGAGCGGCGATCTTCGCAGTCAACGCTTCGCACATCAGCAACATGGCGATCTAGACGCCATTGTACAGACATGGCGAGGCCACTTTGCCTTTGCCAGTAGTGAGTGGTAGCCAGAGAATTCGACACCAACTGGCACATGTCCTGAAGTGTCTAGAAGCATAGACTCCTCCTGCACCGCATCCGCGAGCGTTGCACAAATTATAGCGCTCCTGTGAGCAACTGCTGTAAAGGATAGGGATGGGCTCTGAGGTTCAGAGTTTGCAGCGCTCATGGCAATTTTTGTTTGTGTGAGAGCATTTTGCGCACCTACTTATCATCTCCTTGCCACGCATTTGCACGTTGCATTTTTCGTTCTTGGTTGCTGGACATATTCACACCTGGCAGAAATGACCGCAGCGCACACACACACAGACATCCCTACCCACCCATACCCACGCCCGCATGTGCGCTTGCACGTACGCACGCCCGCACACGCATACCCACACACGCATGCCTGCTCCGTTGCGCACGTTGCACGTGCAAGGCGCGAGCAGGTCCGCTCTCCATCCCATTTGCCCGACCACTCGCCCGCCCCGCCCGCCCACGCGAAGCTTCCAGAAAGTTCCGCATTTCCTGCTGGCTGAGGTTGGGAATGACGAAGGGCACGAAGCAACACAATGGGCCGATTACTACAGTGAACAGCAGCTCGCAGCAGTGCAAGTTTGGGTCTTAGCTTGCATCAGCCTTTCGGTTGGTTTGGGAGACTGAGATAGAACTTTGTCGACGGAATGCATGATTTTCGAGCCGCACTGTTGCTATTGCCTGCCACTTTTGGTCAAAGCAGGCCCAGCAAGCGCCATGCAGGAATGAAGCGATGGCAGGCTTGCACGTTCAGAAGTGTCGCTCGAACGTTGACGTGGCCACTTTGGCAGGGTGTCCAGCGCAGCGATGAGGAGGCCAAAGAGGTCGTGGAGAGGGTGCGAACGCCTAGCTGTCCCAAAAGTATTCAGCTGGCTTGATAACAGCAAGCTTGTCAAGAGAGACGTGCAATATGCGAGGCTTTAGGCTCTTGTGCAGTAGGTGGGGTCCTCAGCTTCTCACGTTGAGCCAGCGTGATGCGTATTCCTTCTCGTATCACTTGCCTTGGCTTCAGGACAAGGTTCTGCTCCCGTAAGGGCAGAGCCGACAGCAACCCGGGCGAAGCGCCGGCGCAGCCCCTCGCCTGTGGCAGAGCTCTCAGTTTTCAGCGAACGGCTTTCAGCAGCGGGGACTGCCCAAGGCCGTGAGCAGCCCTTCAGAGAATGAAGGCGCTCGCTGGTACTATCCCAACATCTTTGTTGGTCACCGCATTTGCGAGATGCTCTGAGATCAAAGTTGCGGTGAGTTCAAAAGGTGGAGACTTCCAAGCTGCTTGGATGGATTCTGACGACGAGAAGGAAGCCGCCAAGCTCAGTGAGAAGCCTTCAGGACCGACTTCCGCCGATCATGCCCCCTGCGCTTGCACATTGGATCTTGGCTCTCTGCTTCAGGCGGGGATATTGTCGTCGACTTCTTCTGAGGGGGCAACAGTCTTCTCCGCACGGAGCTTGCTAGGGGGTTGGTCTTATGTGCACCGCCCTTCCCGCTGCTCTCGGATCCTTGTCCATAGCAATTGTGCATAGATCCATGCCATTGGCCACTGGTGGGTGCTTTGCGCTTTGACCAAAAGGAATATCTGTTGCAACAGTCTCCAGTAGCAGAAGCACCTGCCATGAAGCGTGGCAACAGCATCCCGTCAACTATGAGAGGATGCGATTAATCTACAAAACAGATGATGATTGCCTGGTTGGCTTTAGCAGTGTGGCTGCCAAGCAACATGTTTGCACATCGCTGCACACTAGCAACATGCTGCCATGGCTTTTCTCGAGCTGTGCTCGCACGGGCACTGCGTGACAACACAAGATCATGTCGGAGTCACGACTTGTTTTTTTTGCATTTGAATAGTTTGGCTTGTGAGAGAGCTGCTAATCTTCGTTACAAAAGGGACTCATATATGCTTGCAGACTGTCATGTTTGAGCATCAGGAGCTCTTGTGAAGCACTTGTATGCGCTTGCATAGTAATGATGGAATGCGGCCGACCTATTCTTCACGAGCCTTTGTGCTTGGTGGAGATGGGGTAGGTCAGGGTGCTCTGTTTGAGCTGTGTCAGGAATGCCCGCTGCTCAGTTGAACTGAGCTCTTTGCTCAGTCCGCGACTGATTCTTGGCTTGGGAGTTCTCAGGTTCTAGAAGCCCCTGGCCCCAAAGATCGAACCAAAGAGTTCGAGGCACAGCGTTGGACGTGACTTGCAATGCCTGTTGGCCTTGGGTGTAGTTGATATTCAGAAGCCTCGGAGCCGCGAGGCCCAGGGTCGCTTCTTTTGGAGGATCCTTTGAAGCGCGGCCCAGCCATCGAGCTCACCTTTATTGAGGCCTTGCACTCAGGAATACAGGTCTGGGGGTCCTTTTTTTGGAGTTGGCACCCCTTTTTTGGTTTAAACGACAACCAAAGGAAAACCACCATTTTGGGGGGTCCCCTAAAAGACACGCCCGTATGTTGCAGCTTCCCTCTGCGGAGTTGGCACCTTCCTCGATTGCTGTGCAGGTGCCGTACTGGTGGGTCGAGGCTGATTTGCGCAGGCGTCAGGGACTCAGCCCAGCAACGGAGAGCACGGCTGCCTGGGGATTGCCCAGGCGTGCAAGATGGGTCTTGCCGCGACTGTGCCGTCTTGGTGGTGGATGTTTGCAATCCCGATAGCTTTCAAGCTGCGCTGACGCGAGGCAGTGAGCAATGAAGGGACGTTCCGAAAGCATTCTTTGATTTACTTGCTGCACAGGCAAATGGGCCCTCTCTGCTGGATTGCAGTGCCAGATGGCATCTGGCTTAGTTGTCCTGATTGGCCCTAGCGGCTGCATCCATGGAAGCTTTTTCCAATCTCAGCATCTCGTTCAGGTCCTGAGCTTTGCTGGGCCATGTGGCCGTGCAACGCCACTCCCCCAGGGAATGCCGTCATGAAGCATCCGGGTATGGGTCAAACTGAAGCCACCAGGACACCGCAGGTGTTGGTCCATGTTTCCATTTACCCGGGTTCCATTTTGGGTGCCTATTTTTGACCCACAGCCATCCAGCTCAGGTCTTCCGAGCGGGCGGTCCCGCAAGAGAGCTTAGAGCGGCTGGCTGACGAAGTGAGCATTGCGTGCTGCTTAGCTGTGAGTTGCAAGTGGAGGGGGGGTTGGCATGAACTTGGGCCTGTGGAAAGAGAGCAAGAGAGAGAGAGAGAGAGAGCTAGAATCTGCTAGAGAGAGAGAGAGAGAAAGAGAGAGAGGGAGAGAGAAAGAGGGGGAGAGGGTGGAAAGAGCCCAGTGGAGAGGTCAAGCCAGCTCACTTTGATTGCACGGAGGCCAGTGATGAGTTGTCCTTTGCTGTGCTGCACTGATTTGTGACACCTGGATGCCAGGCCAGCAGCCCGCACATCTTGCAGTTTCAGATTGAGCGCTGCCAGCTGGTTTGAGCAACGTTTACTTTTAAAAACCGTCATCCACTTTTGTGTTGCAAAGGGGATAGCATGGGGCATCTTCCAATGACCAGGTCTCTGGCAACTCACCGAATAGCCAATGTCATTGGCGGATGCTCGCCGTGCGCTGCCAGGCTCTTTTTAAAGGTCCTGACCCTGCGGCTTCTTTGGATGAATGAGACCCGGACCTCCCCGAAGGCAACCCGGCAGCTGGCGTGTTGTTGGGTGGGTCCATTTTTGTGTGAAAGACAATACGGCAACATGTCTGCCTTTCGATGCTATTGGCATGGGCGTTTTTTCCGAGATCTCGGGGCTCACTTCCACGCCGCGGCGGTCGAGTGGAACCACGTCTGCAACCTCAGTATCCTCCCGTTGAGTAAAAAAAGGCATGTCTCAGGCCCGCGAGTTGTGCGCTGAAGAGATTGGGTATGGCTCAAGATGAAGTCACCCGGGGACCGCAGGTTTTGGTCCATGTTTCCATTTGCCAGGGTCCCATGTTGGGGTTACCCTATTTTTGACCAGCAGCCGTGTCTCGTGTTTTTTTCATCCTGAGGCTGAGCTCTCGGGCTGAAGCTGCGGTTGCGGTGCCGCAGTCTGCCTCTGAGATCGACGCTTCGAGGCTCCGATGCCTCAGCTCCTGAGGCCTCGAAGTCCCGGCCCTCCGCGTTGTGTGCGGAGCTCGTGCCAGCTGTTGCAGAGATTTGGCTGCTCAATAACACGCACCAAAATGGCACCTTGGTAAATGGAGCCAAAGACCATAACCCGCGTCTCCATGGCTCTTTAATTTTAAGTTTCGAGCCCAGGGTGAAGGAAGCTGGAAAGCAAGAGGTTCTGCCTTAAGGCAAACATGATTCCAGCGCGCTACATGCCTGGTGCTGACCAACTTCAGCGGCAACCCAGAGGCGCAATTTAAGCTTGGCACTGTTTCCAAGTCGGTGCAAAGTGCAGGCCGCACGTGCTGGGGATCCGAGCCAAGGCGCTCGCGCTGCCAGGGTTCTCTTTGACACGCTCAGCCGGGTGCCTCGCGCCAGGAGCGCGTCGCCGCGGCCGCGGTCGATGCCGCTGCGCAGCCTCAGTGCTGGACCTGGATGCGCTTGAGGGGTTTGTGCAATCGGTGAAGGTAGAACCAATCTTGGCATGGGAGGACAGGAACAGATGGCAGACATGGCAAGTATGAACCTATATGAACCTATGTAACATAAGCCGAAAAGAACCGTACCTCCTAGGGCCTGGTAGGGCCGGGTGTGGGTCATGGCGAGAGGCTCCCAGAATCCGAGGCCGAGGGAGCCCTCAACCAAGCCCAAGGCCTCCAAGCCGCGCGGCTCTTGAAAACTTCTCCGAGGAATGCACAAAGACGAACAAATGCAATATGGGTGTGTCTTTTTTGGGGGACCCCCCACAATGGTGGGTTTCCTTTTGGTTTCCTTTTACAAGGGGTACCATCAAGAAAAGATCTTGTGTGTCATCTGCTTCCTGTCCGATCATCGATCCGTGTTTTGCGATTCGAGGGCCCAGTCCACGACCAGCCTGGTCAACATCGACTCCACAGGTCTGAGCCCTGAAAGCTGCAACTCTCAGCACAAGAACCAGTGGACCCTTGCTCCAACTGGGGAGAGCTGTGGTGAGCGAGCCAGAACTTGAGGGCGTTCTTTGGGCGTTCTTTAATGATGACCACACCACCACTAGTACCTGGCAATCAAGACCATGTCTGACGTCAGGTGGAGCTTCGGGAGCCAAGCCCAGCCAGGCTTGCGGCCGCAGAGGCAAAGCGCCTTGTGGGAATCCCAGGAAGATGTGTGATATTTGATTTCATTTGTTTCGGTCCAGACAGCTTACTGGTGTGAGTTGCGCTTACGCTGGCTTGCCTGCTTGCCTGCCTGGCTGCTTGCCTTGCCTCCCTTGCCTGCCTGCTTGCCTGCCTGCTTATTTGCTTGGCTCGCTCGCTCTCCCGCTTGCTTGCTTGCTTGCTAGCTGGCCGGCTGGCTGGCTGGCTTGCTTGCTTGCTTGTTGACTTTCTTGCTTGCTGGCTTGATTGCTGGCTTGATTGCCACGTTGCCACATTGCTGTCTTGCGTCGCTGCCTGCTGGTGTGCTGGCTGTTTGCAATTGAAATTGCTCCGCTGCCAAGGTTGCAGAGGGCCAAAGCCGCGTGCAGCGCCCTCAACAGCAGCAGGAGCAGAAGAGCGTGGAGAGATCCAGGCCAGGCGTTGCCCGTTGCCGGACCAAACAACAAGCCATGTGCTTGGCCTTTGCGTCAGGTCCAGTGAGCTGAAATCGCACAAGGACGCATTTGTTTCGTTGTTGTTGGTGTGTGTGTGTGTGTATATGTTTTTGGGACCCCGCCCCTTAAAAAAGAATAATGTTTTTTTTGTTTTTGTTTTTAGCACGACCTGCTGGTAGCGCTGAGGATGTTGGTGTGACAAGCTGGCAATGTTGAAAACGATGCTGAGGATGTTGACGAGATCCCGGAAATACGGACTTTTCGATCGAAAAAGCTCAGAATACGTGTTTTTAGAGGCCAAGACGAAAAACCCAAAAAAATACACCAGCCTCGACCCCAAACAGGAAAAAGGCATGACAAGTCCGTATAACCCCAAAAAACGGCTTGTCTCCTTCATGTAAGGTGCTAAATTGAGTAGCTTATGTGAGCAACACATAGTTACAATCAGTCCATGTATGTCCCTGCAGGAAGTCCCCTTTTTTGGGAAGAGGACACATCGGGTCCATCCATCTCCTTGACGTCGGGTAACAGCATCGATGTTGTTCATCGACTTCGAGGAGAAAATTCCATGTCAATGCCATGTTCGAGAGTGAAGACCCCGGGGATTCGGGGTGAATCAACCTAACACCTGGCATTAATCAAAGGTTTCGACTGAACTTTCGTAGTACGGACACTCAATGCACTTTTCCATCACTGCAGCATTTGGTGGCCGTCTCGCTGCTCTGCTGAAACTTGCGCATCAGTCTCAGCAGCTTGCGGCCGAGACTGGACACATGCCACTTCTGGTTGCTATCTTCTTCTCGATCTCGGCTAAAAGGCTTGCCACAAGCAAAGCAAGAGAGCACTTGCATAAACTTGCAGACTGCGCCTTGTAGCGTTACGGCCGGGACATCCTCGCCTAGCAACACAGACACTCGCCGCGCCAAATTGGCAAGCGTCAGCAAAGGTACCTCTGTCACCCGGCACAGCTCCAGAAAATTTTTAGTGTTTGAGCCGGCAGTAGCTTGGTCATCCAGGGCCTTCATCTCTGTCGTGTCCAGCGCGCCGCATGCTCCCAAGATGGCCAACGCATGGCTTTCTCCATGCTCCCAACGCCGCCCCATTCTGGAACAAGCTTGGCTTTGAACGTCAGCTCCAGCCCTGCTCCATCTCGGAAACGTGTGAGAACTTTGCCCCAATTTGCCAATGCTGGCTGCACAGTGGGCACCACCAGCTTGGCCGGGTTCATCTTGGAGTTGGTGCTTCTGGTTCGCAGATTGGTGTTCACATGTGTGGTGAACGACCGGCGGCCGTCATTCCAACGCACGCCGCTGTGCGTTCACTCAGCTCCAGCAGCACTGTAATCAACTGGCCGGGTTCGTGAACTCTTTCCAAGCTGTCAAGGTCAGCAAAGTAGGTTGCCAGGAGCTCCTATACATCAACCAAGTTTTTCGAGGAGAACTCGACAAGTGCAGGGACGATGCGAATAACTCTTACGAGCTAATGGTTTGGTTGGGGACCCGACTCACCCAGGCTATACTTCCAGGACAATTCTTTCTGGAAACCGGTCAGAGAAAATCCTTGGAGCTTGGACCCCCCCTTACGATGCAACAAGATGATAGGCACGCCTGCTTGACTGTGTGTTCACTCGTCGTTCTCTGCGATAGCAGCAGATCTGCAAGAGCAAGTATCCAGGAAACCGCCAAGCGATTGGCGAAACGGCTCTTGTTGATGGGAGCCCAAAAAGAAAGCAGCAAACACGGCGGGAGCCACCGAACATGTGTCGAAACATGGCCATGACCGTGTCTCCTTGTTGCAATCACCACATTGAGCGCCAGAGCCGCCGTTCCGTAATGTTGCTGGGGAGTTCGCCACGCTCGGAATCGATGTTCAAGGCGTAGTGGAGGCGAAGCTGTGTCGTCAAAGAAGAAATGGATGGGCCATGTCTGTAGTGATGGTATCAGCACATCCCTCCAGCTTGGTTTCCCGACAAGCCACGTATGCTGCGAGCAAGTAAATCAGAATCTCTCCCGGAGCAGCCAACTTCAAGTCGAGATCTCGGAAACGAACGTTGATTGCGAGAATGAAATGGAATTGCTCGGATTTCCAAAAATACTCACTGCGGGAGGCTAGCGCAAGCGCCATGCAACACAGCTCACGTTGACCCCTTTGGTGTTCCATGGGTCCAAAAACTGTAGGGAAGCTAGCGCCTGAAAACCCTTGAGCCCTCGCACTTGCAAGCCCTGGCACTTTCGGACACGTGCAACACAGCAGCGTCCATATTGCGGAATATGTGGAAACA